TAATCGAGAATTTTTACACTAACTGTTAAATATTCTAAAAAAAACGAATTTTTTAACAGGGTCATACCAGCTTATTCAATTTATGCTTGGCACCATGCCACCTCAGATTTAGATGATTTTTGGCATACAAACTTAAATCAATGAAAAATAATACTTACTATATAAAAACATGGTCCAGTTGTTTAAAAAAACTACTTTAAATGCAGACAAACAAGGCCTGCAACCGCACATGCTTCCTGGGAAGGCTTGTATTATTGTTATGTTGTTACTACTATTATTATTATTATTTAATATTTTTTATTTATTTATATTTTTTTTTTGCATTTTCCATGTTGTGTAATAAAAAAACAAAATATCAATGTTGCAATCATGAATAAATTGTGTTCTTAACCACTTAACCCTTAAATTTATTAAATACTCTATACAAATGCTGGTGGAAAATAAAATCGAAATAAAAGAAATTGATGTTAATAATTACCGTACTTAGATCTATTTTCATTAAAAACAGATTATACAAAAAATCCACAAAATGTAGCGATATTAAAACTAAAAATGAACTGTTTTCTAAATTCAAATTTTATAGAATCAAAATCAGCAATCTATTAAAAATTAGTAAAAAAGCATATTACACAACTTATTTTAGTTAAAACCTAAACAATATTATGAATACTTGGAAAGGGATAAAAGAAATTATTAATATGAAACCTTCCTACTATAGTTCAACACTTAAACTTAAATTGAAAGAAAATATTATTACATATCAAACTGTTGTATCAAGTGTATTAAACAACTTTTTTGTTACTATCCAAAACAAACTTTAAAACCTTCAACATCCAAATGTAATGACTCAATTCTCTAAATTCTAGTTCATTCTTTATTGATCATGTCACAGAGAATGAAATCTCTAATCTTATTAAAACTACACTTAGAACTGGAAAAAGCTTTGGTCCTAATAGTCATCCTACATTCTTTTTAAACTTATTCTAGACATAATTTCTAAATCTTTTAGTATTATTATAAATAACTCATTTTAAAATGGTTTATTCTTAGATGCTTTCAAAGTTGCTAAAAACTTTCCAATATTTAAAAAAGGTTCTACAATGGATATGTCTAACGTTTACTTTCTATCTTCACAACAGATCTGAGTTTGTCTCAATCAATGACTCAAAATCTACTCAAATAAATTGCTCCAACGGTGTCCCTTAAGGTTCAGTATTAAGACTACTACTTTTTCTTTGTTACATTAATGACCTTAATAACTCAATTAAGTTTACAACTCCTTACCACTTTGCTGATGATACTAACTTGCTCATTATAAATAAATCTTTAAAAAAATTAAAAAATGCGTTAACCATGATCTTTCCAATCTTGTTCAGTGGCTTTGCTCAAATAAGCTTTCTCTCGTCTGTAGCCAAACTGAACTGGTCATTTTCAAATCCAATAAAACAAAAATCAATAAAAACTTAATTTTTAGATTAAGTGGCCAGAAAATCATTTCCCCAATCTCAATCAAAAATCTTGGAATTATAATGGAATCCAACCTATCGCTTGTATCCCATCTTAAAGACTTAGCCATAAAAATAGGCAGATCAAATGGAATGCAGGCTAAAGTTTGCCATTATGTCAATCTAGAAACACTATTAAATTTATATCATGCCATTTTTTGGCTCACATATACAATATGCTTGTCAAATATGAGGACAATTTTAACAGCAAGCAGTTTTAAAGATATTTCATCTTCAAAAAAGCTTTAAAAATAATACATGTTCAGAAATAGGAATTTAATCATAATGTGCTTTATCTTACATTAAACTCATTACATTAAGATTACATTAAGATCCTTAAACTATGTGACCTTGTTCAACTCTTAAATTGCAAGTTTGTCTGGAATCACCAACACAAAACTTTCTTTCACAAAAAAATCTTCAACAATCTCTTCCCCAAAAATGCAAATAACCAATACTATCTTCGATCGATTGATAATCTGAACAAAGCAGTCTTAAAACACCGTTCTGTTATTTATACATATAAGTCCATAAAAAACTAAAGTATAAAATCTTAGAATAACCTTCCCTAAAAGCTCTTCACCCAATCTATGTTTTTAAGAGTAACCTATTCCACTCCTTCCTAATCAAATACAGTTAATAAATCCAAAGATATGTGTATCTTTGTATAAGTGTTTGTGATAACTGTATGTATGTATATATATATGCATAGATGTGTATGTGTATATATATATATATATATATATATATATATATATATATATATATATATATATATATATATATATATATGTTTACGTATATATATGTATACATGTATATATATATGAATATATATATATATGTGTGTGTGTTTATGTATGTGTATGTATGTATATGTATGTGTGTATATACATATATATTGTATGTGTGTATGTAAGTGTGTATATATGTATATATGCAAGTGTGCATATTATGTATGTTTACAATACAGGGGGATTTAAGTATATGTGCTTATATGTATTTGTGAATGTAAGTGTGTATGTGTGTTTGTATATACGTATTTGTATATGTCTATATATGTGTTTATGTATGTGACTAATACTAGATTACTATAATTTTTGTTATGACTATTGTAACTAATTTTGATTTTAATATTATCATTTTTATTGCTAGCACTGTATTGTTACTACTACTACTTTCATTATTATTACCATTTTTTATTATCATTATTACTATTTTTACTAGTACAACTTTTAATGTTCGTTTTGTTACTGGTGTGGATGATTAACATTACTATTAGCATTAACAATATATTTATTAGCTTTTAATTGCAAGGTTTTTATTTGAGATTAGTATATGTACTATTTTTAAACTTCTGTGAATGTAGCAACTATTTCAGAATATATGTATTGATTGATTAATAAATAAAAAAATATATAAATGCTAATTGAAAATTATAGAAATAATAGAAAATGATGTTAACAATGAAAAAAATGTGAATACTGGTTAAAAATTATAGGAATGATAGAAATTGATGTAAATAAAATATATGAATGCTATAATGTAAAAAAAATATATGAATGCTAATTGAAAATGATAAAAAATACTTACTGGAGTAGTGAACTTCAATTTTATTTCTTTTTATTACCTATTGTTTTAAATGTTTTTAGAGTATTTCTGACACAATTTTATATTCTATATTTAACTGTCTATTTTTTTTTTTTTTTTTTTTGAAAGCACTGTATGCAACCCTCGGAACTAGGAAAAATGAATTTGGCAATAAATTGCTGACTTTAAACTGTTGTTAAGAGGTTGGCATCAGGTCAGCAAAAAATTGAGTAAAGGAGACCTTTAGTTTTGTTAGTACAAAGAACAGCACATCAAACCACTAAGCTAATGAAATATATGTAGATGCAAGAAACAAAATGTTTTTTGTTTTTTACAATCTACTTGATAATTTATTCAAGCACATTTTATTCCTAAGAGTTTCAGTACATGATGTCATTGATTTTTTTGTTTGCCTAAGAGATCGATTATGTAAACAAAAAATTCAATGACATCATGTACTGAAACTCTTAGCAATAAAACGTGCTTGAATAAATTATTAAAAAATTTAGCCCAAACATTTTTTTATCATTCTCTTTAATATGAACGCAAAATATTTCGGAGGTTTGGGATCTCTTTAACAAATAAATTTAGAAAAAAATATTTTTGCTTTTGAAAAATATTATTGAATAGTTTTTTAAAAAATAGAATGTGATTGAAAACTTAAAATTATGATAATTATGTGGTATTTTATTGAGAAGTATGTTACTAAAAAAGAATGGGATAAATCTTGTAAAAGTGCTGACTGCCTTTGGAAAAAAAAAAAGTTCCTCAAAAATCTACTGGTTGAGGGCTTATTAAATTTTTAATTCAGAAAAAAATCAAATTTACTCAAATTTAAAAATTTTTTTGTCATAACTTCGAATCATTTCCGAAACTAAGAGAAAAAATCTCATTAGAAATGATAGCTTGTTTGAACAGTGACCATGATATTTTGTATTTGTAGAAAAGTTTGGAGAGAGTGGTTAAAGCTTGGCTGATAAAGCAGGTTCAACTACATTTACATGTTCCTTTTTTGAAATTCTCTTAAGTGCTGGTTTCACCTTTAGAATGGACCTCATTATTATAAATTTGAAATTTCAGCATGTTTCAAGAGGTGCAATGATCTTGACAAATTTAACTAAAAAAAAACATTAGTAAAATTTGGTTTAAACTGACAGTCAAACTTGGTTATAACAAACCTAACTATCCAGCACTGTACACAACAAATCATTTCACTTATCAACTAAAAGTATCATTTATGAAGAAACAGTCTCATACATATAGCCTAAGATACCATGTTGTGCACCTAGAAATGTATATTGTTTTTTTAGCTGTTGCACTAAACTTAGGAGATGTTCATGCTAATGTTTTCATTAAAATACAATTATTTTATTGTTTACTTTTGAAAAATATTACTTAAATTGTTCAGTATCAACCAATTAAAGTTCTGCATGCATAAATAGAATAAGCTAATTATATTTTAGGATTAAATTACAAAGTTTTATTCAACTTTTACTAAAAGCTATTTAAATATTGATACATTGTAATATATATTTTATGTCATAATTCATATCAGTTATAAATTTACTTTGAATTTTTTTAAGCAATTGAAAGAGAGACCTAACTAAACCCATTTTAATGAGTCCTCACATACAGGGCCAGTAATAAAAGGGTGCATTGGAGGGTGTCACACCCCCAAAACACTAAATCTTAGTCGGCACAAACAAGGCCACAACAGTCAGTCGGTAAAAGTCGATATGCAGTTGGCAAATTTTAAAAATCGAGGACCTTTTTTTTGTCGGAAAAAGTTGTAATGGCATCCTCCCTTCACCCCCCATGTGACACCTACTTGTAAATAAAATATATGAATGCTATAATGTAAAAAAAATATATGAATGCTAATTGAAAATGATAAAAAATACTTACTGGAGTAGTGAACTTCAATTTTATTTCTTTTTCTGTTAAACCTGCTTCCCTTAATAAACCAATTTCTTCTTCTAAATGATCAAGCGTTTGGAACTCTTTCAGAGATTTTATACCTTCCTTTTGATGAGATTCATCCTTCATTAAAACACTTTCAGTAAATTTGTTTGTTTTTTCTAATTCACTAAAGCAAAAATTTAGTGCTAGATAATGTATAATATAAACTTTAACATATATACATATATATATATATATATATATATATATATATATATATATATATATATATATATATATATATATATATATATATATATATATATATATATATATAATCTTTAAAAGTCATTTTCTTGTTATACAATAATAATAAAATATGTAAATTTCAATAAAAACGGCTGCGTTTAAACTTTTTAAAAAATATCAATTTGTTTTTATTTTAATATATTTTTTTGATATTTCGCTGATCTATTGTGATCAGCGTCATCAGGTGTAAATTACACCTGATGACGCTGATCACAATAGATCAGCGAAATATCGAAAAAATATATTAAAATAAAAACAAATATATATTTTTTAAAAAGTTTATACGCAGTCGTTTTTATTGAATTTTACATTTTAAATATATATATATATATATATATACTTATATATATATATATATATATCTATATATATATATATATATATATATATATATATATATATATATATATATATATATATATATATATATATATATATATATATATATATAAAATATTATATATTTTATAAATATTATATATATATATATATAATATTTATAATATATAATATTTTATAAATATTATATATATATATATATATATATATATATATATATTTAAATATATATATACCGTTTATATATATATATATATATATATATATATATATAAATATATATATATATATACCGTTTATATATATATATACCGTTTATATATATATATATACCATTTATATATATATATATATACCATTTATATATATATATATATATATATATATATATATATATATATATATATATATATATATATATATATATATATATATATATATATATATATATATTACTCCCCTAAAACGGTTTACGGGAGCAATTTACGGCTCTCACAAAAGTATATTTTTTTCTCTCAAAAGTTTAATTATCATTGTAACTAAAATAAAAAATGCAGTCATTTTAATAATTATCTTTACCATTTCTTTAAATCCTGCATTTGATTACAATAAAAAAATATAAAACTTTTTTTATAAGCAATAAAAAACCTTCCCCCCCCCCCTTTTTTTTTCAAATAAAAAATTATATGAAAGTATAACTATTAACTTTATACAAAATAGCATTGCAAATAGCAAAAAATAGCAAAAAATGTGTTTTTTTAATTTCAAAGAAAAATAAAATAAATATTTCAAAAATAAGATAAAATAATATCAAATAACACAATGTTACAAAAAAAAAATTCTCCGTTTATCAAAATTTTGACATTGAGATATTCAAAATTTTAAATAATTAAATTTCAAAGTAAATAACTTTGAAGTTTTAATTTTTCCAAGTCCATATAAATTTTAAGTTTTATATATTTTTATGAAATTTTAGTACCAAGTTATTTTAAATTAAAAATTCATAACAAAAAACTATGATTTAAGGTTCTATGGTCATTTAAAAAAAAAGGGAAATTTGAAACAACTACTGTTGTCCAATATTTACCGGGTAAAAAACACAGTTGTCCAAGTTATTTATAACTAAACCAATGATAATAAAAGCCTAAGTCACATGACTAACTAAATATATATATATATATATATATATATATATATATATATATATATATATATATATATATTTGAATATTTTGACAAATATCTTATTTAATAAAACATACATCTTATGCTGAGTCTGAATATGACATTGATTTTTTTATTTGCATCAACCGTTACATACTTATATTACATAATGTTACATTATGTTCTAATGTAATTGTCTGTAAATGTCTCTCAAAATCTCAAAAAACACTAGAAGCGAACAGTAGAACGTGGTTTTGTTTTATGAAATTTGTTGTCATCACGTATCAAACACCAGATGTAGTCACCCATTATAGCTAATAAATTCCATTCTTTCAAACGTGATGTCAAAAGTTCTGCATTTGATTTAGTGAGACCTAAATCTCGTACTAAGTCATCAAGTTCTTGTTGGTTTGGGAAATGAGGAGAATCATTCGGTTCACTGAAATCACAGTCATCATGGAGTTCATCTGGTGTGTCTACATATATATATATGTTATATAGTCTACATCAGAATGGTATGCAGTTGCTTCTTCTGATTGAGATGGTTTAGGAACAGGCAATTTATCACTATTTGGAACTGGTCCAAGAGAAGAGGGAATACTTGGATAAACTAGAGTCAGCCTGTCCTTCGGCTTTTTATACTTTGAAATATCAACCATGCAAAAATTACAGTCATCATGATGGTTTGTTGTTTCTCTCCATATTCTTGGAATCGCAAAGAGCATTGACTTTCGGATTCCATGCAGTCATCCTTCCAGAGTTGATCTGCAGCTGCCACAACTGTAGTGTGGTGCCAACAATTTGTCCTGATCTCCCATAGCCATGCCAAAATAAGCATGATATGCATTAAAGAATTTTGTACTACTGACAATCTCATGTTTAGTTTGTGTTGGACTAATATAGTAACCACAAACATAACAGAATGAGTCAGGGATCTACTAGACATGCTCATCACTTCAAATAACAATTAGTTAAACTTAAAATAAACAAAATAATATAGTTAACTTAATCTCTCAGTAGCATTTGTTAAAAATATTGTACCCAAAATATGCTAATATTTATTAAAAAATGCTTTAAATCAATATAAATATAAACAATAACAAAGAAATTTGATATCTAAAAAACTATAATCAGGAAAAGTAATATTAAAAGTGATTATAGAAAAAAGACGCAAAATATACTAAGTCACTGACAGTGGCTTGCCAGAGAGAAATAAAATCCACGAACCACTGTCAGTGGCTCAGCGGAGAGAATGAGTTAAAATCAGCATATATAAATATATGTTATAAATGCATTAAACATATATGAAAACTCCAAAATATACTTTATGCTTTTTCTCAGGAATTCTTGATGATAGAGCAAAACCAATGGTACCACTGAAATCAAACATTAAAAAATTTAAAAAAATTTTAAAAATTTAAAAAAAACATAAGAAAATGTTGCTCTTTTTTTTTGGGGGGAAACCCAAGCAAACTACTTCACAACTAAAAGCGTGATGAGTTAGAAGACATGTAGCTCTTTTCCTCTAATAAAACATTTAAGCTTTTCTCTCATGGAGCCGGAGCAATACATCCAAAACATTCGTTTTTTGCAATATATTATTAGCAGTATCAAAATCAGAATATTATTGAGTTGACTTTTTACTTTGAAAAAAAACGTATTATAAAGTCATATGACTTACTTTTATCCTTTTAAGGATAAAAGTTAGTCATGTGACTTAGGCTTTTATTATCATTGGTTTAGTTATAAATAACTTGGACAACTGTGTTTTTTACCTAGTAAACATTGGACAACAGTAGTTGTTTCAAATTTCCTTTTTTTTTAAATGACCATAGAACCTTAAATCATAGTTTTTTTGTTATGAATTTTTAATTTAAAATAACTTAGTACTAAAATTTCATAAAAATATATAAAACTTGAAATTTATATGGACTTGGAAAAATTAAAATTTCAAAGTTATTTACTTTGAAATTTAATTATTTAAAATTTTGAAACTTTGATATTTTCCAATGTCTACAAAGCAAATTAAACAAAAAAAGAAATTATCCATAGGTAGGACTTAAACCCTAAAATCAATATAACAGTCACACCAAATTGACACAATTAACAAACCTATGCAAAATGGGGATATAGGAACCTATCAACATGGGGATATAGCCTATCAACATAATGATATAGGAAAAAAATTTAGCTTTAAACTATTAATTAGAATTCTTTTAAATCAATTAAGTTTGAACTATTAATTGAGACAATTCTAAATTAAAAAACGTATTAGTTTCATTGTTTTATTTTCTATATATATCATTTAATAAAAATTGATCGCTGCTTTAACTTGCGTAATAAAAAAAAGTTTATTTTAGATAATTTCTTTCTTTTCTCAACATTTGTATAAATGAACTAAAATATGTTAAATTTTTCAAATGATTATTTTATAAATTTCTAATTGTAGCTTTAAAACCAAAAACAACTTTTTATTTTTTAAAAATTAGAGAGTAACATAAAAAAAACTTCGTTAATTTAATTACCTTATTTATTAAAAATTTATTATTTTATTAGAGATCTTGTTGTGAAAGCAAAGGTTATTTTCCAAATCACTATTTTTTTAAATTATACTGCTGTATATATCATTTATTAAAAATTAATTGCTGCACTTTAACTTGCGTAATAAAAAAAAGTTACTTTTTTTTTTTAACATCTTGCTTTCCAACAAGACTGCAAGCAACCACTATTAGAAGGTACTGGAAGAGAAAAGATGAAGTTTATAGAGCAGATAATGATTGACAGACAATTTAAAAGATTGCAAGTTATATGAATCAGGAAAACAAGATAAAGGTAGAGAATTCCAAAGAACTGAAGTTCAAGGAAAAATACTAGACAAAAAAGAACTTTTAAAGCACTTAGGAACAGTCACAGTAAAAGATGAGACTTAATTGAATGACGAGTAACATGAGAACAAATTTTAGTAAATGGCACAAAAGACACTAGGTCTTTAGAGCAGTGCCCATTATAGTAAAGTGCCCATTATAGAAAAGAGAAAGAGAAGCATTACAACAATTAGTTGGAGGTTGGCTGCAAAAGCAGGTCAAACTATGTTTACAATGCATTTTTTGCACCTTTGTAAGAGAAAGGGCATCATTGGAAGATCCGCCCCAGATATGACAACAGTTCTCCATACAAGGACAGATTTGAGATTAAGAGAGATAAAGAATAGAATCTGGAGTAAGAAAGTGGTGAGCACAATATAGAGATGCAACCTTAGCAGATGATAATTTTGCAATCAATTTGATATTTGGTTTCCATGTAAGAGTGGAAGTAACAGTTAATCCTAGAAGATAAAGGGTAGATGACTCATCAAATACATTACTTTAATAAATA